CTTACTTTACTTTACGTCTTTTGGCGTTTATTACAGTCGTGTTTAGAATTTATGAAATACTTATCTTTATCGGCCTTAGTCGGTGAACGGCCAATGAGCGGTTAAGAAACGAATACATGTCATAGAAGTAATTTTTTAATTGGTCCCAGACAACGGTCGCAAATTCACATTATTATGATCTGAAATGTGTGTCTAAAACGAAATGTCACTGTCAAATTAAAGTCAATATGGTTGTTGATTGATGTCAGAAATACTTTTTTCTTGCTTTTGAAATCGTCTTTTTGAGAATAACTGTGATCTTTTTAAAATGGATATTAAATATTTAAGAAAATTGTTAATGGAATTTCCAGATGTAGCCAGGTTAGTATAAAATATAAAGATCTGTTTACATTTTTAATGATATATTTGTTATAGGTATAAAAAGTAAAAGTTAATCAGTGAATGACAAGTGGATCACACAGTAACTGGTATCTCTTCTATGAGTAATGTAAATATTATGGCTTATTTTGTTAACCCATGGTTAATGCGCTAGAGGGGAAATAAAGGCATTCAAAAGTTTACAGACCTATGAGTCAGAATTTGTTTTGAAAACTTGAACCAACATTTTCATAACACTACATGTCAACATATATTTTTTAAAGTGAACTATTCATACATACCTATGTATTAATTTTAAGTATGTTTAAAATATTTTTTGTGAAAGTAATGTTAACTCATTGTGCCAAATTAAGATTGTCCCTAAAGTAGTAGTAGTAGTAGTAGTAGATGTTATAACAATTTTGTAAATAGTTTTATTCTATTCTAATAAATAAAATTTGCTTGAATATTTAATTACATTTTAATCATTTTGGTTAGAAATTCATCAATTTTTAGTTTTAAAAAATCAGTAATAAAATTATTTTTTTCTAAAATACTTTGGAATTCATCTCTTCATGGTAATCTCCCATCTTTTTACCTTCAAAAACCAATAATGCATTTTCTACAAAACCTTCAGAATCAGCATGTAAAATAATAAGGTGTCTTCCCTTTCTTGTAAGGCTTTTCAGGAATTGCTACCTTTAATAGTACTCAGTGTAGAAGGATCCATAATTGTAGATTTTCAATACAATTGCTTACTGAAGAACTATTATTTACGAAATAAAGTAAAAAACTAAGTAATGGATGAGATATCAAATTATAAAATGTCAGAACCCGAGAATACCGATCAAGGAGAAGCGACACTAGCTGTCGGTGCCTTTGATATCGGATGTACCTTTTTCACAGTATGCCTTTGACTGATACACAACTTAGCACGCTGAGAAAACATGCTTATTTTCTACACTGAGCGAAATAGTTTGGCAAATTATCTGAAATTATTGTTATAGTCCATGCGCAAATGTTGCAATGTGATTTAATTACATTGAAGTAGTTAGGGTTAATAGCAATGCTTAAATTTCGGCACCAAAATATAATTCATTATGTAATAATTAATTATTTATTATAAAAGTAAAAGACGTTTATTATTTTATAATTTATCTATAAAATTTGTTCAATATTTGGTTTATTTATTGTTAAAAATGTAATAAAAGCCCCATATTTAAATTAAATTACCTTTTCCTTAACTAAAAATAAGGTAAATAAAAGAGTGTCAAAAAAAATTTAGGTAACAATTAAAAAGACATTAAATTTGAGAGGTTTAACTAAATATTTGCAATGTGCATATATTTACTTATACTTACATATTTTTAGAATTTCTAGATTTATATTATATTAAAAGGACTTTCAAGTTTATCGCTCATTTCTGTAGAAACAAGTGTTTTCTCGCCAAGTTAAACCAGATGTCATTTAAGGTTTATATATTTAGAGTTAAATACCTGGCCTGGCTATTACCCAGACAATACAAATATGTCCGTTGGACGTCCATTCGATATACAATTTTGGATGTCTAGACGTCCAAAAATGAGTTTTCTAAACTTCCGACATCCAATGGACGTCCACTCAAGTATACAAATGGCACACTTGACCATTCAGGGGACGTCCAATTCTGGAATATATTTGGACGCCGAATACTAAACATTCAAAAAACGTCCAGGATTATATTTCCATTGAAACCACATCCTCATTTTTTTTACAGAACCGCAACTCACCACACACTATTTTATATTATTAATAATCTGTTTATTATTTTCGCAAATCGCTTTACACCATTTATTTATTTTTTATTAAAAATCGCTTGACCTGAGCAGGTATCGAACTCACGACACATCCATTATCGTTTTACGCTTTCAATCGCTAGACGAGCTCGACCAAAGAACCACTTGAAAACTTTTTACTAGATACAGTTATAATTGAATAAGATTTCAAACTTCCGCTGATAGAATGAAATGCAATAGATTCAATTTGTCAATTTTTAGTGACTAGTTATATTAAAAAAAAAAGTATATTTAGATGGGTATTATCTGGTAGGCTTAATAAATAATGACCTAAGATGGACGTCCACTGGACGTCAAAATACTACTGAACTTAAAATTAAGTCAAAAAAAAAAACTTTCTCTGGGTATCGATATTTAGCTGTCAATTTAATTAGCATAAACGGACGTACACTGGATGCCCAGATATGGACGTCCTGACCCTCAAATAGATCTAAAGTGGACGTCCATTGGACTATGTGTGCATAGACGAATTTTTAGAAATAGTACTTATTTAAGTATGCACCAATATTTCCAAAATTAACTCCAGTATGATTCATTCAATAAATGTAAATATGAATGGGCAAAACATATTTATATTGACATAATTGTAACTTACAATTTAGCCATAATAAAGGGATTTTGCCCACTTTGACCAATCCTAATTGAAATACACGAATTTATTATATTTTTTTAAATATAATTTCAAAATAAAATAAACAAAATCTGCAGTTCATTGTTTATTAAATTTATTTTAAAAAAGACAAATATATATTTCACAAAATACAATACCTACATATGAAAAATAAAATGTCAAAAATGAATAAATCATTATACTTAATATTTATGCATGTGATAAAATTCTTAGTTTCCTAATAACTTTTTTGGCACATTTTATATATGTATTAGAATACCTAAGTGTGTAAAAACCTTCATCTTATTACTACACAAAATAAACACCAAAAAATATCACTTAACATTGCTCACGTACTAAACACAACTTGGACTGACTTTGACAGATAACATAATTTCGAGTGATACACAACTTATTTTCGCACATGCGCGTTACAAAACGGTACACTGAAAACACCAAGCTGTCGCTTCTCCTTGTGGTGCGTTTGATTTGATTATCAGAGATCTCCGAGCGCTACGTACGTGTTTGAAATGACACTCCAAGCGATGCCAAAAGTGTTTGTTTCGCTTTGATTTTCTTTTACTATACGGAGAATGGTCGCACTGCGCAGCTTTCTGAGTGCCTTTTAAAGGGGCGTTTGATTTGAAACTCGATCGAGCGAGCGTCAAGGAGACCGAGAAGTGATGACGTCACAATAGAGCATTGAATCAAATCAAATATAACAGAGTAAAAAACATAACCTCGCTTTTTGTGATTGTCAAAATCACAGGTCAAAATAGTGAGCAAAAAGTAAAGAAAATGGAAAAACTTTTAATAATAAGGGGCAATGGCCCTGAAATGCAGCATATACCACAAATGCCCGCTTCGCTCTCATACTCCATGCCTGTGATTACTGGTGATTAGATCTGGACAGAGAAAATGTATTTTCCAAACACACATTTTGTTTTTTTTATGACTAATAATTTTAGCTATAAGACAAAAGCGGCTAAGTAATTTGTTGACTTCTTGTCTGGTCTTTAATTTTGAGATTCAAATTTGTTTGTAAGTTAGTTAAAAAGAGATAGGTAGAGACAAAGACAAATTTCTCCCTCTTCTCGATCCATCTGCTCTGAGAACATAGAGCTCGCTCTGTGTTCTCGCTCCAAAGCAAAACAAACACTTTAGGGATCTCTCGGAGTGTCAATTCAAACGAGTTTGCAGCGCTCGGAGATCTCCGATGATCAAATCAAACGCACCATAAAAGGAGATAGAAAACTCCGTCATTTTGAACCCTTATTACGTGTTGCCTACATCTTGGTGCAATATTTTTAATAGGTGCGTTTTAATCATCCACTACTGCTTCGGAATTGGCGGTTTTCTTGTTTTAATCTGACAGGTTAAAACGACTGAACCGACAATTCCGGAAGCAGAAGCGGATGATTAAAACGCACCTGATATTTTGCTTGCTGCTGTCAGTGTCAGTGATTACTATTTTTAGAGTCACAGTTTATTGCTAAAGAATCAGTTAGCTCACTCGGACCAGTTGAAAGTTCCAAAATAACATCCACTTCAGGGATACAAATTCAGGATACGCAGAAGACTGCTGTTTTATTATAGGCGGTTGTCATATATTATATTATCTGAGTTGCACAGTGTATAAACTGGAATATTGAGATCAAAAGTGCCGACGCAGAGTGAGCGATCTGATTCTTTAGTTATAAACTGTGTCATAGGAATCAAAATGGCCGCGCCCAATGTTGGGCGTATCGGACCTCTCTCTTGCCCCGTATAGTAATCAAATTTTTATACCATGGTAATCAAAGTATGTGGAGCAGAAGGATCGAGAAGACGGAGAAATTTGTCTTTGTCTCTACCTTCTCTTTTTAGTTTACCTACTACAAACTTGAATCTCAAAAGTCGTGACGTCTACCAGTCAAAAGGAGCAGTCAAGTTTTAAGTCATTAAATTTAGCCGCTTTTGCCTCACAGCTATTAATAAAATTATTTAAAATAAAGATAATAAATGTCTGAAAGCGAAGCCGGCATTTGTGGTATTTGCGGCATTTCAGGGCCATTTTCCCTTATTGAAGAACATTTCATGAACAAACATGGTATGTATAAAAAAAGCTGAATTACTAAGTTTAAGATGTGTAGACCTCAACTCATCAATTATTTGTCTTTCTACGACTCCCATTGCCGTATCTATTTAAATTATTTTCAGTTTCATCCCATGAAAAAGACAATGTGCATAGAAATATGGAAAGTGCTTGTTCAACAACAGCAGTACAAATAGAATCAGAATCCATGGAGAATACTGATAAAAAATATGGACGAATGAAGCCATTCTATTATTGATCAGGTTGGTAGAAGGAAAATATGATGATTTCAATAAAGGCCTAAAAGAGAATGTGTGGATGAATATCGCAGCAGACCTATCCAAAACATTAAAATATACAATCTCAGCTGATCAGTGCGACTCCAAATGGAAGGGACTTAAGAAAACGTATAAAAAAATTAAAGACTTAAACAATACAACTGGAAATAAACCTAAGAAGTGGGAATTTTATTACGTTATGGACAATTTGTTAGGTAATAAACCTGAAGTTATACCACAAGCTGTTTGTAGCTCATCAGAGGGCTTAATTATTAATAAAGGTAATTGGAAGCATATCAACATAATTTTATTGCATGCCTTGTTGGTACTCTTTAACCTAGTGTTTTTGTTATTACAGTCCCAGAGCGAGCATCAACGACAAAGGAAATCCCAATAAATAAAGGCAAAAGAAAAGCATCTGGAGTTGAATTTCGTCATAATGAAAAAATGCAGAAATATGATGAATTCTTGCATTTATTTAAACTTACAGTTGAACACACTATTGGTAGGAAGGTTGATGAAAATTAATAAGAATATTGGCAACTTGATGGTCATTTTGTTTATCCTTAATATAATATTATTTGTTTTTAGAATGTTCTTTGTGCTTAAATAGCTGTATTAAAGCCAAACCAAGTGTTTTTTTTAATTGTATATAAGTTCTTTCATGTTTTCTTATTTATTTTAATATAATTATGTTCATTCTAGCTGCTAAAAATTGTTGATAATAAAAACTATTTTTTGAATTAGGGGTTTTATTATATAATTTAAATATAAAACAGTTTTCTACAAGGTGCAGATTTTTTACATATTATACAGAGTGTCCAGAAATTGCATGTACATGGAGCAACCACAGATGCATGGGCTCAAAATAAAATGATTTAACCAAACTTGCTTGTATACCAACTTAATTCGTTTGGACTTTGAAAGTTAATAAAGCTAAACAAAATATGTTTTTTAATCTCCAGAATTCAGGCATTTAAAAAAATCAAACTTCGTACGAATACTAGGTCAATTAAAAGCAGCAGGAGAAAATGTTGTATTGCGATCATAAGTGTCTCATAAGGAAGTTGATTCTTATTTTTTATCCAGTACTTTTTGACATTTCAATCATTAAAATAGGAAACTATGGAGGATTTACTCAAAAAAATTACTCATGTTTGATGTCGCATCATGTACCATTTTCGAAAAAAAAAAAAAAGTGGATTTGAACTTGTAATGATTCAATTTAATTTGACGCATTAGTTGTTTGTAGGTATACATTCAGTGAATAGTGAAATAATTGAAAAACAATAGGATAGTGTACTGGGGTTACTTTGATGACAATCTAATTATTTCATTCGTACCATCTTTTATAGTATTAAGTAGAGATGTTAAGCATGCTGATGTAAAAAATTCAAATCCTTGATCTTTTAATGTGGCTGAATTTCGGAGATTAAAGAAAAATAATAATAATTTAATTTTGTTTACCTATAAAGGCCAAACGAAACAAGTTGGTATACAGGTAAGTATGGTTAAATCAACTAATTTTAAGCCCACAAAACTGTGGTAGCTCCATGTAGAAGAAATTTCTGAACATCCTGTATACTATATAAAAATTTAACTCATTCTTGTATATAATATATTTGAAATATTTCTTCTCTTTGTTTCTGCTGAATCAACAGGTAGCAGTACCAATTGAGGATTTATTGGTTGTAACAACCTTTCTTCCGTCATTTCTGCTTCTAAATCTAAATCAATAAGATCATCACCATCCAGACATATATTATGCAATACACAACAACTGATAATTATTAAAGGAATTAAGTCCAAGCGTTTTGCTTCTAGTAACTTCAATCTACGAAATCTTCCTTTTAGGAGTGCAAAAGCGTTTTCAATAACTACTCGTGATTTAGACAACGTAGTATTATAATGTTTCTGAATGTTTGTTAAGTGCCCGTCGTCTTTATATGGGACAAATAATTTGTTTTTTAAGGGGTATGCACTATCACCTAACAAATGACTATTGCCTGGAAACTCTCAATTTTCCATACTTCTGCCTAAAGGTGACCTTCTGTATACACAGGCATCATGGTTAGAACCAATTTCCCCTGCATAGCAGTCACGGAACCTTTTAGTGTAATCACAAACTGCCTGTAGTATAACAGAGTGATAATTTTTTCTATTAATGTAAGCAGCATGGTTTTCTTTTGGGGCTATGATTGGAATGTGACTGCCATCTATTGCCCCTATTACTCCTAAAATCAAATTTAAATAGGTTTTCATATTTGGTCTCAAAGGAAAAATTCACATTTATAAAATAGACAAAACTAACGTATTCTAGACATATTCTACTGTTTTTTTATTATCATAATTATAAAAAATATATCCATTTTGCATAAATGACTAGGTTCCTGAGTTGCTTAAGGAGGTCCTTTCGCCACACCTCTAGCCTCAAATGTTAAAAAAAAAGTTATTAGATTATGACTAAAATTAATTTTTTTCTAATAGTTGAAGGCTTATTTATCTAATACTGAACTTTTAACTATACCTTACCTTGCAAATTTTTGAGAATTTTTTTTTTAAAAATGTGAGTATTTTTACAGTGCCTCACGAGAAAGTAAGTCCTCAACAATAATTCTCGACATATACTATTATTTATTGATTAGATGGAGTAGAAAAAAACTAAAAATAAGGTTTTTGAAATATTTAGATTTTGTTTTATACAATAAAATATATATAGTAAACCGTGGAACTTATTGAGAAATTAATATTAAAAAATCACAAAAAATTTTCAAGGGAGCGTTCAAGTATTACGTAACGCAATTTTTGGAGATTTTTAACCCCCCCCCCCCCCCCCCCCCCATGTAACGCGCCGTAACGTTTTTGTGAAGGTAAAAAAAGGTCAAATGGTGACTTGAAATTTTGAGAAAAAGAAACGTTTTAAAAAATGCGTGAGAGAAACTCTCTACGCGAATTTTCTGAAGGGTTAAAAAATAATAATGTTGCGTAACGCGTAGTTCAAACGCTCCTGTAACGCATCGTAACGTTTTACAAAAACCCCGTCTCCCACCAAATTCGTTACGTAATACTTGAACGCTCCCCAAGTAACCAAGTTGAAAATTTTTTGTGATTTTTTAATAATAATTTCTCAATAAATTCCACGGTAACCTATATATTTTATTGTAAAAAACAAAACCTAAATATTTCAAAAACCTTATTTTTAGTTTTTTTCTACTCCATCTAATCAATAAATAATAGTAAAATTAATTATAATTCGAAAATTGTTGTTGAAGTCTTACAGCCGTATGCATAGTCGATCGCCAGCGACTCGCCAGCGACTCGCCAGCGATTCGCTGGCGATCCGCCGGCGAAAGCCCAAAAAGCTGGCGGCTCGCCGGAGATTGTCACCGGAATGTCATTTCACGAAAGTTTTCATGTTCTTTTATAGGGAATATCACCGGTATCTCTCGCATTTTATTCATGATTCATTTCTTAAAACTCAAAAAATAATGAACGAATATCAAATTTTTCCCTATAAAAGAACATGAAAACTTTCGTGAAATGACATTCCGGTGACAATCTCCGGCGAGCAGTCAGCTTTTTGGGCTTTCGCCGGCGGATCGCCAGCGAATCGCTGGGAGTCGCTGGCGAGTCGCTGGCGAGTCGCTGGCGATTGACTATGCATACGGCTGTTACTTTCTCATAAGACACTGTACCTGTACAAACACACACTTTTAAAAAAAAAAAAATTTCTCAAAAATTTGCACGGTAAGGTATAGTTAAAAGTTCACTATTAGATAAATAAGGACATCTACTATTAGAAAAAAATTAATTTTAGTCATAATCTAATATTTTTTATTTAACATTGGTGGCGAAAGGACCTCCTTAACCAACAAAATTTAAAAACAATCTTCTTTTCATGTATTATTTAAAAATCAATTTTCTGCGTGCCAAAGTTGTTTATTCCTTAAAATTATTCGCTTTTGGTGCAAGTATCTATACCCAAAATTTAGTCACTTACATTAGTAATAAATTGTTGGTTAGGCAACTCTGGTAATGATCCATTCAAATAATCACATATTGTTTATAATATGCCATCTTACTAAACTGGAAAATTTGATTTTTTTTTAAACTGGTAATAATATCATTACATTCTCCTACATTTGGAAATGCAATAATGCTTCTCCTTTCATTTACCAACAATAGTTTTTTGCAAATTTTATATAAACTATTCCATGCCGTGAAAGTACTCAGATTAAAACGATCGGCAACACTCCTAAAATAATTTTTTCTGTAAAATGTTGAGAGTTATGTTTACAGAAGCAATTACCTAAAACTTTCAATATTTGCTAAGTACCAAATCCCAACAAGTAACTGTTTTTTATTTGTAATCTCTGGATTACCGCCTTTATAAACTGCGTTATCTACAGAATTTATGTAATTTAATAGAACTTCAAATGTAGTAGGTTCCATTCGAAAGTGAATTTTAAACTGCCTATTAGAAAATCGAGGCACGATTTCTTCTGCAAAATTCACCACCTTTTGAAGAATTTCATGATTCTCTTCTTCGTCCTCCTCTTCCTCGTCCATGAATAACATATCAACAGCAAACTTTATTATTAAAAGTCTTTCCATTTGCTTCACTATTGCTCAGTTTTGACACAGAACCAAGAACCGAATACTTAATCACAAAAAATTTAAGCGAGGTTAGGTTTTTTACTCTGTTTTATTTGATTTGATTCAATGCTGCATTGTGACGTCATCACTTCTCGGTCGCCTCGACGCTCGCTCGATCGAGTTTCAAATCAAACGCCCCTTTAATGGACTTTAATAATTTAAAAGATACAATGTACTTATTATTTATATATATTATTGTAGATCCAGGTATGTTTTCGGTTTTTATTTTATTTTTGTTTTCTATATTTGGCTAGTTTGCTAATATCACAATATTCAAATTTAGTAAAAAATAATGTAATAATATAACAATTATTATAATCAAATTCTAAATAGAAAATGTAATTTAATTGCAATTGTTTTGATAACAGTATTTGCATCTTGTTTTTTATATGCGACTGTGCCGGGTAAAATGTCGGGAGGATCAGTTCTTTTTTCGTTGAGTTTTGCAATAAGCTATTGTTTTTTCTCATTTGTTTCGGTATGTATTTTATTGTAAATTTATTTCATATTTTCTTTATGTTCGCTAAGTTGAATATTGTAAGGTTGAGCTTCATTATCTATTTCACAAGGGTCTTTTAATTCGAGTTATTATATCCTATAACTGACAAGGTTAGTTTTTCGATTGAATTCAATTTAGAGGGATTTTCTTGCGTATGTGTATTCAAATCATATTCGTAGCAGTTTTGAATTAATCCACTCTTGCGTTGAAACGATGACGTCATTTTTCAAATGATTTTAAATTTTAGCTGTCAGTTTTAAAACCAAGGGAAAGTTAGTTTTAAAATGTTATTCATGGTAAAAGTGGGGATAATTGTTAGCGCAATTTATAAATCTGTAACATCTGTCATTCTGTTTTGTTTTTCCAAAATTAAAATTGAGAATG